GCTGATGAACAGGGAAGGAGGAGGTCTCTCTGCCTGGGGTTGGAATGGACATGGATAAAAGCATGGACACTGAGCTACGGCTACACATCAGACTGGGATAAATCACGCTCCGGCAGCAAAGGGGTTCTTGGGGCGGCAAGGCGGACGCTTTCATTCAATGCATGTTCTAGGAACAAGAACGCCCTTCTCATTCAAAGCTGCTCGTGACAACCATCCTCTCACCCAAGTCCCCCAACAAGGCTGAAGGGAGAGGATGCAGCAAGTTTTGGCTATACTCAATACCCCTACAAAGGAAGTTCTCCTTAAGGCAGGGAGAAGTCAGGGTCCCATTTTTGAGAATGAAGGATGCAACCATCAAGGAGGAGGGGAAAGCAGTTCCAACACAGACAGCTTTGTAACATAGCAAACGGTTTAAATTCAAGGCTTAACTAATCTGCACTCTCTTAGAGTATGAATCTTGTTAGAAACTAAAGCATCCAGCCAGCTGGAGGGACAAGATGATGTTTTGTAGATGAACCCCCATAACTATGGAGAAAAGGCAGACCTCCCAAGAAGAGCCCATCTCCCATCATCAGTCCCACTTTCCATGTTGGTTTTACCCCTTAAGATTGCCTGCAAGTCGCATGCAGCAGTGTAGGCCTTGCTAGAGCAGTGATCAGTATATATACTGCCCACATAAAGGCTCTGACCAACATAGGGCTAGCTGGAGCCGTGACTGATACACAAACTGCTTACACAAGCTTAAGCTGGAAAATACGTGCGTGGTTCAGGCGTAGATTCATCACAAGGTTAACTGATGAAGCTGGTGCAGATGGTCTAAAATACATGCAATAACAATGGGATGTACAGACAAGAGGATGATTCATCCAGGGAGTAGAAAGGTCTCGTAATAGATCTTATTAAGTACAAGGAGCAGGCCGTGTATAATGTAAATGGGATTTGTTGAGAGTAACGTACAAAGGCACACTACAAACCCTTGCAATTTTGTACGTGGCCCAGGGGACACATGCTGGGAGTCGTGCCTCTGCTTTCCTGCAAGCACCCAAGGCTAACCCATTCACCATGGGCAATCTTGTGGTTGCGCCAGAGGAGAAAGCAGACGTCTTTAACAAATTCTTCACCTCTGTTTTCTTGTGCAGAGACCAGGACTCCCCCGCCGTGATTCAAGACGGACTCGAGGGGAATGCCTCCAGACCTAAGGCTGAGGAGGACCGGGTTAGAGTGCTTCTGGAGGGGCTGGACATGTTCAAATCAGCAGGTCCAGATGCTCTCCACCCCAGGGTGTTGCGGGAGCTAGCAGTGGTTATTGCAGGGCCCTTGGCACAGCTTTACGAGCGCTCGTGGTGCTCGGGCCAAGCACCAGATGATTGGAAGATAGCCAATGTGGTCCCCATCTTTAAGAAAGGGAGGAGGGAGGACCCGGGCAACTATAGGCCTGTCAGTCTTACCTCAATCCTGGGGAAGCTCTTTGAGAAGATCATCAAGGAGCACATCTGTGATGGGCCGGCATTGGAGATGATGCTCAAGGGCAACCAGAATGGATTCATCAGGGGCAGGTCATGTCAGAACAACCTGATTGTCTTTTACGATCAGGTCACAAAAGCATTGGATGCAGGTGTCGCCGTGGATGTAGTCTTTCTGGACTTCAGCAAGGCCTTTGACACTGTCCCACCCCATCCTCATTAAAAAACTAGGTGACTGTGGCTTCGATGCCTACACAGTCAGATGGATTGTAAATTGGCTGAAGGGTCGTACTTAGAGGGTGGTGGTGGACGGGTCATATTCGATCTGGGGGGAAGTGGGCAGCGGAGTCCCCCAGGGCTCGGTCCTTGGGTCCGCACTGTTCAATGTCTTTATCAACGATTTGGACGATGGGGTGAAAAGCAACCTGTTTAAATTTGCTGACAATACCAAAATTTGGGGTGAGGTGGGCACATTAGCAGGGAGGGAAAGACTGCAGAAAGACCTGGATAGGTCGCAGGGGTGGGCTAACAGAAACAGGATGCGTTTCAATACTGACAAGTGCAGGGTGC